AACAGAGCACAGATATTCCTAAGAGATAGTAGGAACGGCAGATGCTGTGTTCATCCAGCCCTGCACTTTGTCATCTCGGATTCTCCAGCATCTGCCGTTCCTACTATCTCTTAGGAATATCTGTGCTCTGTTAGCACATTTTCCAGTTATATGAGATGAGTGGTTTAAAAAAAAGTGCCATTATGTAACCAATTATTTACAACTCTTCTAATTCAACAACAGATTTAGATAGACCAAGGTGCTGCCTCATCCTTGGTTAATTTTTATGCTGCAGCCTGTTGCTTTTCTCTTCCTCGCAATGTTTGCTTCTGTAGTCTGTGCAAACTGTAAACCAATAGTAAAAACATGGGATTAAGAAGCCAAGGTAATTGCACCTTACCTAGGTGTGAACAGCTGAATCCACTGAAATTATCCAAATTAGTTTAATACAGTTTGAGGAATGTTTGTCAGTAACATCCAAGGCAAACAACAAATATTAGTAACCTGGGATAAACAGCTGGTTATAATAATCACAGGCAATGTAACTTGTGGGGACTGTACAAGATACATTCAAATTGCTGTAAAATCTACCAAAACCTAAAATGTTTTCATTTTTAATTTAGTCAAGTGTTTGAACTACACAGATGCAAAGAGAGAAAATTGTTTTTTGTCTATTACAGACCAAGTATTAATTATTTTCCACTGACAAACTTGGTTAAAGATTTTCCCATCACCTATATTGTTATCATCAGAATCCTAACTGAAACACGAGGTATAAAATTCTTGCTCTATATATACATGAAAACAGCACTTGAACTTGCTTTGAATTAAAAAAATTGAATTGGTAAAATGTAATCATTGGGATTTTGGATTTAACTGAAAATTACACTAGAATAAATTAAAACAAAAGTCAACATAAGTCAAGTTAACTTTGTTCCTGAACCCAATTTGAACTCTCGCTTGGTGACTGCATTTTTCACTAGCCGCCATCTGCTGTTAAACTGGGTGATCTTCAACACTCCAACACAGAATTGCCTTAGCCACGGCCCTGCACAGCTGGAAAGCTAAATGGACAGATACTGAGAATGCCATGGCTGACTGAACAGACTACTGAGATCAGAGAGATTACACCTAATTTGCTGGCTGAGGACTGCCAAAAACAACATTATTTAACAGCAGGTACTCAAATATGTAAAGGTAAATTTTCATAAAAGTATTCATTTTTCATTTAAAGATTTACTTTTCTCATTTTTAGTGAATGTTTCTTTTTTAGCAATTTAAATTTCTAACAATTATACAAATAAGTTTTTATATATATATAGTTGCCCATGTTAGAAAATAAAAGTTCTGGCAATTAGCCACGCTATAATTGTGTTTGGAAAAATACTGGCAGGCAGACATCTTACAACATAAATGTATCCTTTGTGCAATTTTATTGCAAACTTGAGAAACTTTCCAAAGGCTTTTGATCTGAGCCCTAGTTGACAGCTAATGTATGCAAGATAGATGATACCAAAGCAAGCCAAGTGGGTTTCCTACTGCTTAAATATCTTATTTTGTCTTGATGACACAATTTTGCTGTTGTTTCACTCACTCATTTCGGACCATACAGAAAACTGCACAAGCAATGAAAGTTCTGCAAGCAAAAAGACAAATTCTGTCCCCTCTTCCCACACCCAGCTTCACTTTGTCACTGACAATAACTGTGTCTTAAAGAGCTGGAAACCTACTGGCATACTACATTGCTCTTACAATATTCTGGCATTCAATTAAAGAATGGAACACAAGTTTTCATGCTCACGTGGTGTACTCTTTATTTGAATTCTGTTGTCTTGGTTTTGAAACTGAGCACATTTCTCCACAAAGAGAGGAAGAAAACCAGCAGTTTCTTGCAAACCACCTCAAAACACCATGAACAGTAACATCCTTTTAGCCTCATAATTAGATAATAGCGTTTATTTGTTTAAAAGTGCTTAATAATTGTATGTTAACTTCAGTCCAATTCAAATTCACATTTAACTTTTATATTTGTTACTTGGATAATCTAATGAGCAATTCCCAAAACAGTGCTTAATAATCGAGGAGTTTCATGTAACAAAACAATCTGATTGATTCACTTACTGTACATCAGTGATTCATTTTAAAACGAGCATCCCCAATTCATGGTATGTGCAAGGTTAGTGATTTTCATTTTCACCAGAAATGGGTCAAATCTGCATGTCGAGGAAAACCTTCATAATTCACTCATAGTTAAAACAGTTTTGTCAATCAAGTTTAGCACAGGTTTCTATTGTGAGTGGAAATGCAAATGCAACAGAAGACTTAGACTTCACATTGAATTATTGTGGAATTGCATCAGAGAAATCAATAGACGATTAGTTGAAACTGTGAAAAAGTTTGCTTAACAAGAAATGAAAATGGACAAAGAGCCATAATGAACCAAATTAAATTAGATATGGCTTGGAAGATTCCAGCAAAACATTCTCTAACTTCAAACAAGACAGTGTTGCCACTCCAACTGCAG